AAAAGAAAACAAAAGAACGGAATCTGATTTTTTTTTTTTTTTTCACAATTGCAAGGAAAATGAGCAATAGCTAGATGACAATGTCCAGCGTGCACATTGAAGGCCAGATAGTAACACAGTGTCCAGAATTTTCTGCACCAATATAACACCAATGAAGAATCGTAACACTGAAAACCAATATCAATGAGAGCTTGCTCTCGCCACCACCAACATGAGTGTCCAGGGGTCGACGCCCAGCCTACTTCCTACACAGCTACAGTCTGACTACTAATTGACAATGCAACTGTTGACGTCAGCAGCCCACGAAGTACTTGAAGATGTCGCCCATAGCAGACCATCGCCAATACCAGGTATGTGCCGTCACATCATCATCATCATCATCATCCTTCTCTCTCTCCCTCTTCTTCACCCACGTCTCCCCTCTGTACACCCGAAGACCACACCTACACCTCACCGTAGTCCAAGCCCAACCAGCTATGGAGGCTGGGCTATGGCGCTGCCCTCGGCTGCGCTCTGCTCCCTGCACGACCGCACGGCGCACGCGCTAGCACCTTGCCTCTCAGCACCAGCAGCAGCCCACGAGTGTCCTCTCCAGCAGCGCTGCCGCCAGCATGCAAGTGCTGAATGAGAGGTCAGGCAGCGAGCTCTTCCCTATATGGAATGAGCCGCCCAGCCTTTGCAGCCTAGCTGGCCTGGGCCTCGGTCCAGAAGCTTCCGGTAGGACCCAGGATGCTGCGCCTCTGTTGCAGCTACTGGGCCTCATTCGGTTGGGCCTCCCAACTGTCTGTGTATGAGGCTGGGATTCTCGCCCAGGGCCTGCATTTTTCTGAAAGGCCCGAAAGGCCGTGGAATGTCTCGCTGCTCGGCCTGTGTTTCCCTCAACCAACTCGCGCGACGAAACTGCCTGGACCCCAAATACGAAATTGGCAGCTGAGGGCCTCTCGTGATTTGTTAGGCCCGCCCTCAATAGGGCGGGCACATTTGCAACAGGGCCCCCTTAGGCCTGCCGAGGACCCAGATCCTCGCACAATCTTCTAAGTGAATGGGAAGCTTCAAGGGAGAGGCATAATGACAGACGGAGGCTAATACCCCTATATATATGAGAGTGGGGAGGGCGGGGAGGGCGGGGAGGGCAGAGAGGGCGGGGAGGGAGGGGAGGGAGGGGAGGGAGGGGTGGCGGGGGCCAAAGAGAGACATAAGGAAGGAATGAGAGACCTATCACACTATGTAAATCACTTTGTGCCAGTTTGTGGAGCCTAGCTGGTTCTATTTTTTTATTTTTATTTTTTTAAGGTTCCCTTTATCATCAGGGCCCAGTGCCCAAGGCAAAAACAACTGAGTTAAAGTTTCCGATTCAGGGCCCACGAGGCCTCCAAGTGCATCCAGCAAGCGGAGCCCGTCCCCTGTGAAAGAGAACCACAATCAAGTCCCAGCGAATCTACAAAAGGGGAAGAGAACCCCAAAAAAAACCTTACAAATCTATGAAAAACAGCGAAAACATGTCCTCAGCGTTCCGAACTAAGGGCACTACGAAACAGCCCTCCACACCATCCAGATGGTGGCCTTGAACCAAGATGTTAAGAAGAAAAAAAAAGGCAAAATTATAAAATTAAAAACAAGGTTACATTCTTTTTTTTTCTTTTTCTTTTTTGGGTGGTTCTCTCACCACCATAGAGATAGTGGCGTTCAACCAAGATGTTAAACAACCGCTACCTTTCAGGCTGCAAGCCTAAGTTGTAAAACCTATACCACATTCATCGGAGGCCGGGTGCTACTGGACCAAAAAGGCTGGCGGTGCCAGCCAAAACAAAACAAAACAAAAACCACCGCGCTGGCGTTCCAGACAAAGTGAGGGCCACAGTTCTATTCCGGCTCGGAAATAGAGGCTCGGAGGTAGTGGCAGTTTGAATTTAAAATAAATAAATAATAAAACTAACAAAAGAGGCTTCGTTCTCTTAAACCACCTGTACTTCCTCGAGTCGTGCCCATTAACACGCCACGATTTTAGGAAAC